GCATGCAGCATTATAGGTACAGTCTTTCTTAAATAGAGTAAATGTTTCTTGAGTGCCTTTTGTTCCCATGGAGCCTCTCAGGATGAGTTTCTTCTTGTTAGAGGTGAGCTCTTGTAGCTTGCACAACAGCTGCTACATTTGCCTGTATGGCACTACACCTTTGAGGCATACTGTGTTATAAAGTACCTAAGGACAGCTGGACAATAAAGGGCACTGTGTAAAATCAAATTATCTTCCCTATACAGTGGTCACTGCTGTCCTTTTTTTCCTTTTTTTCCTTTTTTTTTTTGAAGTTACTTCATTTTTACTTCAAATAATTTTAGTAGTGGTTTTTAATTTCTAAGTGTATTGCTGGAATGTGGTTATGAATTCAGAAGGAAAAATAGATTTCTAAATCAGATTAGGCTTTGTGCAAGAAAATGACAAGGAGTACTTGGGAAAGCTGAAAATTGAAGTGATTGGAAATGCCTAATACTACCATAAATTTGAAAATGTTAAAATATTTCTTACATGTAGAGTATGTAAACAGATGACTGTCATGCTGAAAGTAGTCTGAAGACAAGTGTTTGTGTACATTTTCTGAAGATTTTTCCCAAGTGGGATATAAAGATGTGCTGTTACACATAAGCTTGCTGCTAGATTGTACTGGATGCTACTAATGTGGATCTCAGAAATTCAGCGTAATTAAATAGCTGTGGAGAGAATGTCTACTTATAAGAGGATTAGAGGAATGGGACAGAGAAATTAGAATATTATTTTTCAGATCTCCTCAGGAAAAAGAACAGTCTGTGCAATAAACACATTATTTTATTTTGGCTGTTTTGTATTTGTATTTATATGCCTATATTGTTGTATTTAAAATTAGTTTCACTGTAGCAGGAAGCTAAGTGTAGCAATAGTTTTATGAAAAGAACTTTTTCATATCTGATACTAATATCTTCTGTAAATAAGAGCATGGAGAGAAACATTTTTTTTTTCCTCCAGGAAATAAATCCATCTTAACTGTATTTTTTTCTGTGTTGAACATATAATACACGTACGTACTTATTTCTTTAAAGGATAATTTTTCATCTTGCTTTCCTCTTTTTGTGTGTTGTGGAGAGAAAGGAGAGGTTACCTTTTTTCCTCCTCACTATTGTGACAGTGAAGATTCTTTTTACTTATATAATTAGCTGCTGCTCAAAGTATTACCTTTTACTGGCATGGAGTCCACACATCAATCCTCCCAGTGGAAAGTGGGGTTTGAATTTTACTTATGTGGAAATAATGTTCATTATTCTTTATAAAGTGTGAAAATAAAAGGACTGTGAAAATAGCGTGATATTGTCCTTGTTAGGATGTTATTTTCATGCTGTTAGTAACAATGGACATCCTCTGAAAACCCCCAAAAGAATAGGAAGTAATTCTGAAATATGTTTGGGAGAACTGTTCATAGATGTTATGCAAGGAGATGTTATGCCTTACCATAACTTGTCTGTGGTTACCATTTGTGTTAACGCTTGAGAACCACAGCAGAAAGCAGTCTTAAGCTGACCAAAGTATTATTTCATGCTTCTCTTTGCTTTTACTGGGATTGAATCTTTTTAATGGCTTGTAGTTCAATTTTAGTCCAGTGAGAATTCAACCCCAATATTAAGTCAGTAGGGTGTAAAGGTTGTTTTTCTGCCCTTGCTATGAAGTGTAAGATGATTTCCTGCCGGGTTTGACAACCTGGGTTCCGCTCTCTGCGGACAGGAGTTCTGGGACTTAGACAACGAATACGAAAAAAGTTGGCTCGAAGAGGACAGAAAGAATATAAGGCAGATCTAGGAGGGTCAAGTGAATAAAAGTAATGAATAGAAAACTAAAGAGGAGTGACTGAAATGCTTTAAAACAGTTATGCCTAAATGTTAGAGCAACATGTAATAATGCTGATTACATGTGACTGGAGAGGTCAATAGGATGCATTTGCTAAGGAAGAAGAACACTTACCTACCATACAAAAGTTGAAATTGCATCCCATAAGTGCTTAGAAATAGTACTTTAATCTTTGGTCTTTTGAGTGAGGGAAAATAATGGAAAGCAGCAATTGCATTTATTGTTAAGTTGACTTTCTGAGAGTCTCTTGGGTTATGCAGAGATGACGTGGGTGCTCAGCAGTGCTGACGACTGATCCACACACAGTTGATGATTTCTCACAGCTTACTGTTACTGTTCTGTGCAGCAAGTACTCTCTTCCTGAAACTACAGATGGGGGCTAGATGGTAGACTGAAAAAAGCCAAGCTCACTGCAGTAGATTGTCGCTTTGTGATTGTTTGTCACCTTTGGCTAATTAACTCTTTGCTAATTCTTGTGGCAGAAGTTTTTAAGTGTTCTGCTGCTATAGGCCGAATTCAGGTAGTGCTGCATGGTTTTCTTTTTATTTTCATTCTCGATCTGCTAAGTTAAAAATTATTCAGTCTTGTCAGTGATTCAGTATGCTGAGTCAAAAGAAAGATTTTTGTTGATGATTTGGTCTACTTGCAAGGATCAAAAAAGGGTTTCGTTTTGTAAGGGAAAATGCAGAAGCAAAAAATAATTTCATGAAGAATATGTCTTATGTGCCAGAATACTGCTGCCCATCAGCTTTTTCCCATAAAGTTTGTAGATTCTTCACAGATGTCACCAAATTTAATTCTTTTTTGTTCATTATCTTTGGAAGAATAATACTTGCATTACCCAAGTGTTACCACACATGTGCAAATTTATGTGTTCAGTTGCACGCCTTGTGGTTTGCTTCTGTGTATGTATTAATACTTGCCTGGAAATTAGGGTTTTTTTCAGACCTGAAGATCTGGTTTGGTGTGCAGTGTTCAGTTCTAATAGATCAGTGTATGGTCCTATAAGCTTCTCTTTTGGGATGAAGAGAGTAAGTGTAGTTACTGAAATGGTTGCACTTCGTAGCTGCTATTGGCTTTATGCTCATTTATTGATGTGTATATCAGGATAGGGATATTGGAATGTTAGGAAACTGATTTGTCTATGACTGACTGCTGCCTGCTGCTATTATACCAACTACAGGTTTGGGGATTTTCTTAAGCGTTTTGTATTTCACATTTTAAGTATGCTAAAGAGTAAACATCCATCTGGTGTCAAAAGCCTTGGGTTGGAATACAAAGAATTAACTTTAAATTCTGCTTCTCCTTAGGGTATCTTGTGGCCTTGGGCAGGAGTAGAAAAGTTTCTTTTATCAGTGGTCTGATTTCTAACAAAGACTTGTCCCAGCACTGAAGAGGGGAGAAAAACATAGGATACATCCAGCTTTGTTTACAATGAGGTTAGCTATACTAACAGGCTTTCTGAAGGATTGACTGAAGACTCAGGTTTTTCTAGTCAGACTGATCTGCCAAGGTTGTTTGATGGGGTAATTATCTTAGGAGTGAAAAGAGCATCAGTGGTGGTAAAAGTTCAAGGTGTAAATTGGCATCTTTGTCCTTGTGAGTTCTTTGGGAGACTAGACTCAATTCTTAAGCAGGCCTTAAAGTCCCCTAATGGACCTATTCATGGTGGTTTTGGAGTGCAGAAAAGCCAGTTTCAAAGTGTAACTCATGACCACCTGGGAGTTCTGAACATTTTAACTGTAAATCATAGGAGGCCTGGGAACAAAACTGGTTTAAGAGTCAAAGTGAAAATATCCTGCTATTCAGAAACCTACTATGTAGTAAAAAAATCACGTCTAGCTGAGTGGCATTTGGCAGCCTGCTCTCCATGGAGAGCTGAGATGAGAGGGAAGGCACAGTCAGGTGAGGACTAAATTCCCCTGACAGCTGTTCACTGAAATTTACTTCTTGTTTCATTATTGCCTTGATTTAACTAGATTATTTATTCCTTGCCTGTGACAATTTGGGAACAGAGAGTTTAGGAATTTCTAGCTCTTTACTTGGGCAGTTTTCTGACTGACAAACCACACTAACCTCTCTCCCTTTTTGTGTCTATAAGTAGGGGTAGTATCTGTTTATGTTACAGTAATGTTGTGGGCATTAGTGGCTTAAAAACTTTAAAGGTCAAGGAAGTCTTATTACTGACAGATGTCTCTCTGACCCTGTAGGTTGGCAGCAGAAAGCTTCTAAGTGTTCAGACAAGAGGAGTTTTGGAATCCTGTCAAAAAACGTTTCTATAGCTCTATGTATGTGGAAGGGAAATCCTGGAAGAGAAAAGAGTCAGGGTAAGAGCTATTGTGAAGTGCATATGAAAAGAAAGTTGTAGCTAGTCATGCAACTGGGAGAGCAAGAAGAGAGAACAAGGAGACACAAATGTGGGAAAGAAAATGGCATCTCCTGTCCTAATTCAAAAAGAAATTTGAGATTTGTGTTTCTGTGGACCTAAGTGTCATTGGAACATCTTTGTCTGTTATCTACAAAGCCTGTAAAGGTGTTCCTCCCCGATTTTGATAATCTGCTTTGTAAATGTCGCTCTCTGATATTCACTTAGCACTCTATCTTGAGCTGGAATGGTTGGAGAGACCTTCAACTGAAATGCAAATTAGCCTTAGATGTCTCTCTTCAATTCATACTTGGAAGAAGTGACACAATTCTTGAAAATATCATAATGATGTTTCTGTGACATACAAGCTCTTTGTTATATATATAGTATAGCTACTCTGAATCATACCAATGTGCTTATGGTCTGCCTGAAAGTATAATGTATGCAAGTTGCACAGCATGTGATATTTTTCACTGAACATGTGATCTAGTGATCTCATGTAAAAGAAATTTTTTCAGAGAAGGGAGAGAAATAGATATGGGGAGATATGCCCTTTACCAAGAAGGGACCAAGCAAACTGTAGCAGTTAGTGAACATGTGCACACCAGCTCCTAAAAACTTCAGGGTTTTTTTCATTTTAACTTAAAAGCCTAATCCCTTTCTAAATATAAGCTTATTAAAATAAGTGTAGCAAAAATGGTTTCTTTATGATGATTAGTTGTATAGTGAATAGATGTAGCTGACTCATTCCCAGTTCTCTTCTGTAATAATTGGGGTTTGCTTTCTGAATTTTTAAATTGTACATTTTCCTATTTAAAAATTTCTATTTTTAAATTATTCATTTCAAAACCATGTTGCACTGAAGTCTTCTGACCCATCAGATGACACAGAGTATACATAAAAATTAAATGCCTATTCTGTATAACAAAACTAGGAAGCTATTTTTTCTGATTTTAAAGATGCTATTTTCTAGAATATGAATAATGAAAAAACCTAATTTTGTAGCCATAACCATTTTCTGCATCTATGAGAACTTATAATCATGATCAGAGGGCATTGTAGTAGGTACATCAAAATATATATAGCACCTCAAAGAGCTAACATTTTAAGTATTAAAAAAAGATCAGATATGGGAGAAAAATTAAATGCTATTCCTGTTCTGCCATTGAGAGAACTTGAGGAGCAGTGAACATTAGTGGGTTACTGAGGGGCAGTGGCTGGTATGTGAAGGAGGAGAACTCCAGAGACTTACCTTACCCATCAGCTTCTGTGCTACTGTGTCATGGTGCTATTGTTTTGACAGTTATGTGGAGGAGAGTGGCTGCTTGGAACACAGTCATGTAAGCAGGACTCAGGTTTAAGTGTTAAATTAGCATGCCCTAAATAGTAAAAATGTAGGATATTGGGACCTTAAATCCATTCTGTTGTATCTTCAAGTCTTGGTCGTCTACATACCACATGTTGCTGAGATGCAGAAAAACAAGCCTTGTGTTTCCAAAGGACATAAAAGTGCAACTCACCTTGAGGAAGTACTTTTCCCTGGAACTAAACCCTCTTGTGTCCTTTTGTCAGCTGAATCCTAGAGCATTCATGAACGACACCAACCAACATGTAGTTCTCTGACACGGAACCAAACTGTGAAGAGCTACTGCCTTCCAGGAATTAAGTAGCACCACTGGAATTGCTTCTGCAAACCCTTTGAGCTGGTGTTTGGAGATTGCTGACCTACCCTGTGTTACTGTAAAACACTCCTACATCACTGACACAGAACTCTCACCTCACACCTGGTGGCAGGGGTAGGAGGTTAAAATCTTTTATTACATGAAGAAACTTCTGCACATAACACAGACCTACTGTGGTCCTGTCTTTCTTCTTACTTTCAATCTTGCATGTTGATGAAAGTATAAACTAGAGGCAATTCCTTTGGCAAGGTGACTGAAAATAATTTGGATGATGGGACTGTAGCCATCTAAGTTGAACTATTCATACAGTCCAAATAATTAACTATATTTTTTAGCAGTTTTCCATTAATAAGAAATTCTGTTGTAGGAGTCTGTGTATTTAGGTTTTTATTCAAGCTGATGATGTTTGCTTCAGTAAAAGTGTGGTGTTTGGACCATATGCTCAAATGTTAACATGTTTAATGCCAGCAGCAGAATATTTACATTAAAGGACATGGAGCCAAGTTAAACTCAATTGCAACTTTATTCACTGGATTACAGTGTTACCAGCAAAAAATAGCTGTGATATCTTGCTTTTTTTCCTCTTTCATTTTTCAAACAGGCTGAGGCAGATCTGCCCTTTTTGGAAGTTGTGCTCTAATTACTATTTTAAGCCCTAGTGCAGCAGGGTAGAGGGGGAATGCCAAGAGGTATTCTGCTTGAACCTGAAGCTCTTGAGAAGGAGGGATAGGAAGGTAAGTATATGCAGAATTTTATTCCAACCTCCCTCTTCTCAGGGGATTAGAAAATGTTGCATGTCTTTCTTTTGACCATGCACAATTTAGCTATGTTAACTTAAGCAGTAGTTCTGGAAGAGAGATTTTATGGGTAAGATTGAGGCAGTTGAGTAGACTGTCCCCAAAAGGCTGTGGATGCACAATATCTAACTGTAGCAAATGTCTCATGAGCTTTCCACCTCTCAGATCAGGCTTTCAGAGATTTACAGTTTTTGGATTGTATAACTGAAGCAAGGACATTTTGATAGAAACGACCAACAGAGGGATAACTAGACTAAACAAATCAGCAGATTTGAGGAAGTGGTAACTCTGAGCAAGGCATGGTGTGAACAGTTAGTGATGGACATCTCTTCTGCTCTGTTGCAGCAGGGGGAAATGGTCTGTTCATAGATCCTGTCAGAACTGGGACTGCAATGCAGGAGTAAAAGCTCTGTACATTGTTTTAAACATTAAGGAACAGGGTGTTACCCAGTGGAGTCACTGCTAATGGTAGGATGATGTGACCATGAAATGCAGAATTTGAATAAGCACTCAGCCTTCAAAAAAACACCAAAAACCAACCCACTAACAACAACCTCAAACCCTGGATGACCAAAATGCCAGTTTGGAAAGAGGATCAGAAAAGTCTTTCTTTTTACAGTTCCCCTTTCCATCTGAAAAAGAGAACTATCTGAGAAGCACAGAAAGGAGAAGTTCAACGGAACTTTTATGGTTGGTTTATTGGCAAACACTTGGTCATTTTTTTTCCTTCTTCCCCCCCTCCACCCCCTTTTTTTTCCCATTCTGAAGCTGTTAATTCTAGTTAGGCCCATTTCAGATGTTCTGGGAGAGGGCTGACAGGAACTTAACATCATAGTATGATCAAGCCACAAGTGATTCCAGCAGAAGATGGACCTTTGGCATCCCATGTGTATCTTGTGTGAAATATGTCTGCTTTTAGAGGCATTTTGACTTTTTTTGTTGAGACAAGAAGGCAGCAGAAGGGATGCACAGTGGAGAATGAAAAGCTGAGGAACTTGCACGAAGGAAAATTTGATCTGCCATGTGGATTAGACAGCAATAGAGCTCTAGACTGTTTTCTCCTTGCTGAGCTTATGTTTCTGGGGCCGGGGACAGTGAGTGTTCAGGCAGGGTGAGGGCTTGTGCATTCATTTTTGTAGAGCACAGATGTGTAGGAAGAGTGTTGGAACTGGAGTTATCTGGGTGTTCCAGGCGAGAGGAGTTGATATGCACTATGGAGGTGATACTGATGAAAACGTGAGAGAGATCAGGGTTCTAAGACAACTGTGGAGTTGAAGGAAACAAGTAGATTGTGAGGGATATTTTTTCCCACCTTGTGTGTTACTGCTCTGATTTTATATTTGTGAGCATGAATGAATGAAAGAAGTCTCTCTTTCCCTGGTTTGTTTCTCAGAGCCTATCAGTTTTTCTGTATTATTTGCGAAACCCTGTGACACACACTGACCACAGCAGCTTGTTTCTCATTCTGAGAACATGAGGAGACTGTGGTGAGGGGTTAGGGAGGTGGTATCCTCAACCTCCCCAGTTACTTTAGGTCCCAACCACTTCTGAAAGGAGGATATTCTTAGGGGGAGCAGTTGATTAATTCACTGCTTAAAGCCATCCAGCTCTCAAGCAATCTAGTGTTACTTTCCTAGTTATGTTGTCTTCTCAAGAAAAGATCCTGTATGATGCAAGCACTGACCCAAGAGGAAAAACAGTAGTTGGAAATGTTGGGAGAAACTGAAAAAGCACTTCAATGTTTGCAGAAACTTTTGGTCATGCATTTACCATGGTTTTCCAATTTTTTTAGATGTTTATTTCCCCCTGTATTCAGTGAGTTTTCCCAATTCCTTGTATTGAGAAAATGCTTTATTTCCTTAAAGTAATGACATGTGGAAATTGGTTGAAGAGCACAGTTCAGTGGTGCAGGCAAATGAAAAGAAGCTCAGGCCTTAAGGAAATATGTTGGGGGGGAGGGAGCTGCGGAAAGATTAAGTTAAAATGAAAACATTATCTAAAACAAACAGTGAGCTTCAGCCTGAGTTAATTTTCCCTCTTGAAGTAGGTGTGAAATTGTCTCTTGCATTCCAGGTCCCAAATTTAAAATGTGGTCATGCTTTGTGAAACTGAAGACGCATTACAGATGTTGATTTCTATACGTGATTTAGCGGTTACAGCAAGTGGCAGATTTACAGCGTCACGACTTTCAAGTTTTATTGCAGACTGAATCATTTAGTGACCTTTGGGTGACTCTTATTAAACACCTACAAGCTTGGTCTTGAGCAGTGAGGAATGGCAGCCGCTTCCCTGGGCTCACCCTGAGCTTGGCCAAGACCCGAGCAGAGGGCAGAGCTGGCACCTCGCACTTCTGCCTGCCATCAGCAGGGGTAGCTAAGCCGCTGCTGCCCGGGCAGTCCTCTTCCCTACTTTCCTCGCTCTTGCTTGCCTGGCAGAAGGGGCCAAGGCAGTAACCACAGAGGTTCTCCCCCTCGCTGCCTACACAGGGATCAGGACAGGAAAGGGGAAGTGGTGTAGTGTGTCAACTCAGAGGACTGCTTTCCTGGAAGCATGCTGCTTCCTATGGAAGTGTGCATGGAGATGGGAGTTACTGTCATTGCTTTTTCTCCCCCCCCCCCGCCCATGCAAAACTTGGTTGAATGTCCTGAAGTTTGCTTTCTTGATGTTGGAATGAGATTGTGGCAAATGCTGCAATACTCTGGATGGAAAAATGCCATTTGAATCTCTATGAGACTTCCATGAGAATTGGAAAGAAGGAAGGTAAGATGAGGGAAATGACAGCTTCATCCAGATTAGCTTCCAAATTAGTGCCACATGGCAGTCAGATGACTCCGCACAGCTGCATGGCTGCACAGTCACATTATCCACATCCTCACTAAATAGTTGTTGGTTACTTCAGGACAAGTCAGGGAAAGGGAAGGCAGAGAGACTGCTGGGACCCACTGTCATGTGGCACAGGAGAGTCTCTGGTGCTGTACTTCATGCTGGGAAGTGAAATTAGTGAATGGTGAAACAGATACCTTTGTGCACAGAGCCTGATTCTGTGAAAACCCAGGCTGAGAGGGCAAAGCAGCAAAAGAATTCTTGTGCAGATGAGTAAGTGCTCGAAGATTGCTAATTTCCACCTTCTGCATTGAGTTTTATCACACAAAGAGATGTGGTGCCAGGCCTGGGGCTGCTGGCAGGCACAGGAGGAAGCATTCAGCTGCATGGGCAGTGTTTACCGTCCCCATTTCCTCCAGAGAAACAACTGTGGGCGGATCTGGTTTTAGGACATAGCTCTTCAAACTGGCTTTGCACATCGTGCATGGTGTGGAAACCACAGCTTGGGAAGTCCTGACCTAGATGAAGGAAAACCAGTGAAATTAGCCTGTTTGAAACTACAGTGCCACAAGTGCTGAACTCTAAAAGGAGTTGTTATCAGTAAGGTGCAGGAAGTCTGTAGTGGTATTCCTTGTCTGATTATTTGAGAACTCTGAATTGGACATGCTGTTTGCATTCTCTAAACTCCGTCCAACACTAAATGCAGAATGCAGGTAGAGGAGGGAAAAGCAGACATTGTTGCTGTAATCCTTTTGCCTCACGGGATGCATCAGAAAAGGATGGAAGAGGCATGTATGGCTGGATGTCGTGATGGAGCAACTCTTGGAGAAAGTGTGTGAATCTGAAAGTCACGGAATAGTTGAGACATCACTTCCGGTAGTTACAAGGAGAGAGGAAACTGGAAGAAGGGGTCAGACCCTGGCTAAAGGCAAGTCCTGTGAGGCAAAGGATATCCTCAAGGGATGCTGCCCTACCGGCAGCCATGGCCGCTTCTATGGAAGGGCAGGAGTGAGAGGCTGCATAATATTTCTCTGCCATTCTGGAAATGCTCCAAGACTTCATGATCTTATGTTGAATGTATTTAAAACAGTGCTGGTTCTTTCATGAGGCTGTTATGGTATGCCTACCCTGCTAGTTTTCATGAAAGGCTGTTATGCTTTGGTAAAAGAGGAGGGGGATTCTATGAAATTGAAAGATCTCAAACAAGTTGATTGTGAGCTCTGCAGTTTTTTTTCTTCTTTCTTGAAAGAACCACACCAAACAAACCTCCCCAAAACACAAGAAAACCCCCTAAAAACAAAAACCCTGAAAACATTGAAGAATTTTGAAATGTTCAAACCAAACAGCTGTTTTTTCAGCTGTTACAGGTATTAAACAACAGCAAGAAAATCCTCTGCTATGACCTGTCATTGGAAATAATCCTTTCTTGATCATGCTGAACAGCTGGGTTCATTGCTTCTCCTGCAACTGTAATCTTCAACTTCTCGACTTGTTACCTGCACAATGATTCGTCAAAATGTTAAGCTAATGGTATGAAATGCAAAATAATGAAATTGCAGATGTTTAAGTGCATCCTTGGGATTCATAAATTATGGGAGCTACAGTGAATTGTTGTTAGGAATGAATTAGGTGTTTGGAAGTGACCTACTTTGAAGATACTTTTCCTTTTTTCAAAATGCTAAATGCTTTTGACCTTTTTCCCTGTTGCAATGCAAGTGACCACCTAATAACACCACTTCAACATTGTTCCTTTTTTTCTGATAATAAATAACATTTACTTTCAACTGTGATACTTTAATTATGCAAATCAAATTCTCACTAATGGCTTTTTTCAGACCCCATAAATCTGCAGTGTAATTTTTTCCTTAGTAAATAGGTCAGGGGAAATGCAGCACTGACAAAAGTGCGGGCAGATGCATTTTGGATTTGGTTTAACTACATCTATACTGTGTAATCACTTAAAAAAAAAAAGGCGAAAAAGCAAAAAAAACTAGTAGCCTGTATAAATGTTAAGAAATGGAAATCAAGACTGGAATTACTGTACTTTCTATTGTTAGTGTCAATAAAAGGACTGTTTAATTCACTTTAGACATATCAGTGGAACCAATCCTGAAAAATCTTGCTCTGAGAACATCCTGTAGGCTTCCTTTACTTGGACACCAACATGTTTATTTCTGGCTTGAATCTGCTTATTGTTTAGATTAAAATCTGCTTTGCGTGGTCAACATAGTTAAAAGCAAGCAGATTGCCTTATGACTCCTACAATATCAACATAAGAATAATTGCAATCACAAATAAAAGGGCAGGAAATAACATGCATTACTTGAAAAAGAACACATAGCCTTCATGTTCACAGATTTTTAAGGTTAACAGTTACTTTCCCTTCTTTTCTCCTGTTTTCAAATCAAAACAGAATCCTATCCCTGAAAAGCACCAAAACATCAGGAACAAGCAAACCACCCCAGAAGCTGAGAAGCAGGCAGCTGTGATTTGTAATTGCTGGGACAAATAAAAATGGACTTTTGTTATGTCAGATTTCTAGAATCATATTTGAGAATTGTACAGTGATTGAATTGTTGCTGTGTTGCAGAAATAAAAGCACAGGGACATACTGAGGCAGAGTTGCCAGAGCCAGATGGACCAGAAACCCAGTGCACTGCAGGTAGGTTTAAATTCAGTATGCAGCAATACAAAGCAATTTCTGGATGATGTTTGTACATGTACATCAGCCAAGGCCACTTCAGCTGGGTGAGAGTCTAGATGATAATATGAGAAGTGCAGGGTCATGTAATGGGGACTTGGAAGGAGCATAGTGCTTAGCACCATCCTGAATGTTGAGGGTTGTGTGATAGCCATAGCCAAAAAAGGTGCATTTGAACAGAGAAGATTAGATATTCTCTGTAGTATGCTTATACTTTACCATCTTTCTGGCATTGTAAGTTTTTATAAAGAAAAATGGAGTGTAAGAGCATGAACCACCTTAAAGAATCAGTAGGTGAATACCAGTTCTTTGAAGATAAGCACAGTCTGTCTCAGAGGACTTGTTGATTATCCAACAGCAACTTGATCTCGTGGTCTGTTGGTTCAGTGATTTGACACACTGTGTTGGCATTGTTATTTAGGGTGTTTTATGTAAACCAGTATGAGCTGGTTTATCCTGTTTAGAGTGTAAGCTGGTTCTCCCATTCCTGCAACTGAACCTAACAATTCCGTTACGGTGACTGCTTTCCTTATTTGTCTCTGCGCTCTTAACTGTGATCACAAACAAAACAGCTGTGACCTCTGTCTTTGACATGAGGTTGTCAGACTTTTCTTAATACAAGACAACGAGTACTGCCTTGCCTGGCTTTGGATAGCTGTTCCCCATTACCTTCAGAAATGAAATCATCTTTTTAGAAAAGTATGGTAGTATCTGAAGAACCATCAGTGTTTCTCAGGTTGCAATCCTGGATTGCTGGTCAGCCATAAAACATAGGGCATTATCCCAGGAAGGATAGAAAGCAAAACACTAAAATTGTACCATGTGTGTGCTCTCACATGTTTCAGCAAGTCAACGAAGTGGGAGAAAATGGGCAAATCAAAATAGCAGATGTACAGAGTTTTAGCTTCATTTTTTGTTGGGAGATTTTAGTAAGTAACAGGGAAGCAAGCATGGCCTTGGATATTGTTTGTTTAATTTTCTGATAGGGCAGGTAGTCCTAGGATTTATTTATTTCTCAATTGTTGGGAAGCACTGTGCTTGGACTCTTCTGGTGGGTCTGATTATCGTAGACAAGAGATGCCGTCTCTCCTGCCTCTGATCTGGAGCACGGGTGTTGCAGGCACTGGTCTGAAGGAGGAACTAGTACAGCTCCTGTTGCAGCCAGCTGTGATCATCTAAACTTGGAAACTATACGATCCTAAGTTTTTGTACATAAATCCTTGGACTTGGACAATCCTGCTATTGCCATTCTCAGAAACACCTTTGTTTTCTTCGGGGCTAAGTGGCGTGGCACGTCTGTCTCACCTGAGCCATAGACAGGCTGCTCTCCCTGCAGTGCTCGATCCAAGCAGCTTCCAGAGTGGTCTTTTTACACAATAGCTCATGGTGTTCAGTTCCCCAATTTCTGAGGAAATTCAGCCCTTGCGAAACTGAACAGATGGATCTGAGTTCCAGCAAGTAGACGCGGAACTGTGTTTTATTCCCACATCCTGAGCGAGTGCTCTAACCGCTAAGGAAGGGCAAGGAAACTGCTGCTTCCTCTGGTCATGCCGTGTGTTAAGGATGTTGCCCTTCCTCATGAGAGCAAAGAGGTAGGCAGGGCAGAGCAAAATGGGCTGAACTGCAGATGAAAAGAAGGGCCTCCTCTTGCCCTGCATGAAGAGCCTGAGCCCTCTAAAGAGGTGAGTTTAAGGAGCTCCTTCCTCTCTGGTGCTCCCTGGTGCTGGTTGAACCAGCTTATGGTGCAGTGAGGAGTTTGCATGGATTGTGCTCTGGAGCATCAAGCCCTTTCCTGCGCGTTGCACGGGGAACCTACTTGCCGAAATCACAACTGTTGCTTTTGCTGCAAAATCTAGAGACTACAGTAGTTCATGTCCTTTTGTGTAGCCCTGCTATGCCAAAAACTTAGGTCCACAAATAGATTAATAGCTTGTTCCTTAGGGGACATTAACACCACAATACCCTGAACGTATGTGCTTGTACAGAGGAAAAGTAGCATTTGGCACTGCTTTCTTCCCAAACCCTCCTCCCAGCAGGCTCTATATTAAATATACATTAACCCCCCCAATAACTACACAATTATGACAGTTGAAACAGAATTAGAGGAGCTAACATAAAGCCAGACTCTGTGTCCCACCTGCACTGCAGGCTGCTGGCAGAGCACTTGTCCGTCGTGATTTGCATCTGTGCAATGGTTTCTTTCCTGGAAGAAAAAAACAAAAAGCAGCCTTACTTCCAGCCTGCTACCCTGAAAAGCTTATCAGTCACAGCGACAGCAGAGGCATTGCAAGGAGTGCTTCTAATGTGTGCATCGCTTTGCTCTCAGAAGCATCGATGACAGTGCTGACAGTCAGCTCCCTGCATCTTGTTGCACTTCTGCTGCTCGTGGGATGTCTACCAGCTGTTACTAAAAAAATCCAGCTGTAGCATAAGCAAAGCATGCACTGGTATTTGTGTGGATCTAACAATCAATTTCTTAGCCTTCCATTTGTATATAAAGTACATAATAAAATAGTTGTACAAGAAAAAAAAAAGTCCAGTTTCTCTAGAAAGCTTGAAGCTCTCTGGGATGGTCTAACACCCTGAGTCCTGGTGATCTGTGCATTAGCATCATTCAGGAATGGATGGCATCTTTCTCTTGAATAAGCAGCATGCGTAGCAGTAGAAATAAGAAAAAAGTACCTTTCCAAATGCCTTGTGTAATGCATTGGTGGATCTGGACTTTCAGCATTTACTCTGGTAGCCTTAACTCTTAAAATTTCAGTGTGTTGCATTCCTTGCTTTGGATGGATGCCTTCTCTCTTTCTAAGCTAAGACCAAGCACTGAGGCAGTTATAGTTTAAAGATAATAATGTCTTCAGTTAAATAAACCTAAGACTGCCATTGTTTTTAAATGTAGCTCTAACCCATTTGTTGCAAATTATGACTTTCTCTGTTTGCACTGCTGTGACTATGCTGGTTCCTGATGTGGGCTCATTAATAGATTATTTCGTTGTTAGCTGTAGGTAAAGCTTTGACCTAGAGCTGATTAGGGAAAAGAACTTCTGTATCTATTATCTTTTCTCTTTCATAATTATTATAATTATGCTTCTGTGCCCCAGACAGCAGTCTCAGACAGACTGCTGTGGAGCCACAGAAACCGTCTGGACTCCCTGAATGGGAGTTTGCTGTTAAGCAAGAGATGGCTGGGTTCTGTAGTGTCAGGGAAAAGCTGAATTACAGCATTACACAGAAAGTAACCAAACCAGTGGAGAGAGATTTCCCTTCCTCCCCACCCAGTTAAATTCAATTAACTGGTAGGAATGCAAAAAACAGGTTCTGTCATTTCCACTTTTTTAAAGATAAATTGGCACACCTATGAGACAGAATCAGTCAAGGGCACAGTTTATAGGCATTTCAGTTTATAGGTGAAAATGACAGTCAGTGTTGCAGAGGAAAGCATCCAGCTGAAACTGCTCTGGTTTCGACACAATACTATAGCTATTTAGTAATGTGTTCACTGCTCTCTGTTGGCTTAGGCTGGTTGAGAGTCTTTGCAGCTGGGCAGAGTGGGTGTGACTGGGGCTAGTCCAGCACTGGGGTGGGGGCTGCTTTCCAGGAGTGAGGAGATGGTTTTACCTTCCCAGGGTTCACTGGCTGCCTCTGAAGTGAGGTTACAAAACAAAAGCAAAGGAAGGGAGGACTCTTTTCAAGGTAGATCATAGCAGCCTTTAGGGGAAAACAAGGTAAGGAGGTGAGTTTGGTTTAGTACTTACTACTAGAAAGTCTGGGAAGCACTGAACAGTGTAACTGGCAAGAAATTCTGAAGCTTAAACTTTGAAGGAATTCAAATGTGTGTTGGAGACCACTAAGAACTGTCCTTTTTATTGCCTCTCGGCCCTCCCACCATGTTTTCACCTTAGAGTACAAGTTATTTTTCTTCGTAGTGCAACTGGACCAACAAGATTTAGCAGAACTGTTGTTCTTTACAGTCATCTTGGGTATCATTGCTCTGGTACAGTGGAAGAATAATTCCCTTCATGAAAGGGCAGCTGTGGCTGAAATGCAAAGCTTAACAGAAGGAGAAAGCAGATTGTGATAATGTGAGGCAGTAAGTGCAACTCCTTCCATGGGCTCAGGGCTTGGAGTCCTCACCTAGTGCATCGCAGTGGAGTTCTCCAGGGAGGTGCAAATGGGTAGTTGTTCAGTGGGAGCAGCCTTCATACAACCTTTTGAATTAATCTTGCAACCTCAGAGACTTACAGTCTGAGTGCCTGTTATCTCAAGTGGAGAGGGAGGCTCTAGTGTTTCATGCTCTTCTCCATATAATGATAAATGCATGAGCAGCTGCTGGGAGAGAGAAGAACGCTCAGGCTCTGGGATACTGTTGGCTTAAGTGTTAAGATGCTTTCTTGGGAACTAAGAATTATAAATTTGAATCCCTTCCAGAACAGAGGGGGTTTAAGGCATAATCTACTACATCTCAGCTAAATGCCAAGCTAGTTGTGGTCTGAAGGCAATGACTCCTCCTCTTAAAGTAGGACTAGAGGCGTTTTCTTTTAAGCAGAGGATGTGCATTGTGGACCAATGATGCTGCTTCTTAGTAAATGCCTGAAGGTCCCAGGGAGGCTGTAGAAGCTTCTGCCAGGAATCCTGGGCTGTGCCACTTGTATGCCCCTGCATCTCCTTCTGAGGAACCTGATTGTCTTTGGACTTTGCGTAAGACTCCACTCAAGGAGTGCTGCCTGTGGAGCTGCTTGAATCCCTCTGTGGGCTGAATTCCTTGCTGTTAGCCCTCAGCACTGTCAAGAAAGAAAACATTGAAACATATGAAAGTACTTTGACATAAAGTACCTGGCAACTGACGGGGTGTTTGATTCCCCCCCCCCCCTTGTTTTTAATGTATAACTTCTAAAAAAGTAAATTAAAAAAATTATTAAGTAAAAACATAACCCAGTTGGGAAATTATAAAACCACTCTGG